CTCTCTCTCTCTCTCTCTCTCTCTCTCTCTCTCTCTCTCTCTCTCTCTCTCTCTCTCTCTCTCTCTCTCTCTCTCTCTCTCTCTCAGTTCTCCGGTCTTCTTACGCCCCTCTTCCGCCATGTGTTCCACCCCCTTCCCAGGGTGTGTGTTTCCACTTCCTAGCCCTTAACCGACTTTTGAATCTCGTCATAAAGAACAAGCACGAGCGCCCCACCCGCGCCACGAATGACATTCGACCACGCTCCCTTGAAGAAAGCCTTCGGCCCCTCGTTGCTCATGATCTTTCTCCAGCAGTCGAGCGTACCGGAGTACATTTGCTCGCACTGCATCATAAGCCGTCGGCGAACAGTATCAAACGGATAAGACACTATGCCGGCACCAGCTGTGACAGTCTGGGCGATAGCCCACTTCTGCCACACTGGCGCGTTCTTTGGATCCGTCAGGAAAACGCTCTTTGTCGTGTCGAAGCCTCCAAAAAACGCCGCGCGGTACACAATGATACCCTGCACCGACACACCGAATCCTTGGTACAGTCCCTTGAAACCATCACTCTTGTAAATGGTGGAGATGCAATTCCCCAGGCCCGTGAATTGGCGCTCCGCGCCTTTTCAAACATCTGCCGCAAGGCGCGTACGAGCGAAGTCAAGAGGATAGACAAAGAGCAATGAAGTGGCGCCGACCGCTCTACCTGACGCCAAATTTCCAGCGAAAAACTTCCAGAACTCCTTCTTGGGGTCATACGGGCAGAAAATCTGCTTGTAGCCTTGTAGGTGTCCTTGAATGCGAAGTTGAGCGCCTGAGTGGGGAAATACCTAATGATGTCCGCAAGATTACCACGCCAGAACAACATAACACTTTGCTCGTTCGCCACCCTCGAGAAGCAATTAATGATCCCAGTGCACTTCTTATCGGCAGCAAGCTACTTGTTGCTGTTCTGCGTCTGCAGCAGTAGCTTCACACGCTCGATAGGCGCCACGACAGTCTTCGAAATTCCACCAGATACACCACCAGCTAACAAGTCGACAAGGAAGGACTGGGCTAGAGTCAGGTCTTTGCCTTTCCCTTCTTTGGGTGCAGCAATGAACGACACCATAGCTGGCACGTTCAGGGGTTGAGGCAGAGGGGTCCTCATGGCGGTAGCCGCAACGAAGCCCAGATACGGCGCCGCCGGCTCATCACTTCCCCCGAGCAGGTAGACATCCCTCCCGCTTGGGGAGAACGCGGGCGTGCCCGCCGCCATCGAGCAGGCTGCCAACTTAGAGAACATGGCGTCACCTTTCCTCCGTCGGGCAAGCGCAGCGCCAACACCGCAGGTTGTACCGTGGCTGGGGGGCTCCCTGCCCCGACTTTTAAATACTTTTGAACACCAGTTGGAGATCCCTGACTATATTCATTATGAGATCTCCCTCTCCTAACACTGTTCATGATGGTCGATAATGCCTGGTACAGTTGAGCAGCTAACATTTGGGGTTGTATTGGAAGGTAGAGTTGTTAAGGCAGAAGGGACTCTTCGGATCTCAGATAGAAGGCTCTCTACTTTGGATGAACTTGAGTTTCTGCAACCTTTTTTTGATCGGATGGGAGACTCTGCTCTAAGAGTCGTCACTAACGAGACTGAGATCAGCTATTTATTGAAGGTGGTGAGAGTGGGGATCACTGAGAGAGTGTCATACCAGTCCTCTGGAGAACGAGTCTCTCTTGGCAAGAGAATCAACAACGATCCCTAAGCTATGCAATTTGACTATGAGATTATAAATCTGACACGATACTTTATGATCAGGAGTACTATGAAAGGGTATAACAGAAGATTGAGTCGGGATGATGAAAGAGAACTGATTGAAGATTATATTGAAAGACTGAGAAGAATTGAGTTGCCTTTTATCACCACCCTGTCTATTATTTCCTACACTCTCTACGTACAAAACTTCCAAGGGGTAGAGTAAACAAGAGAGGAGAGAAACGAACTTGTATCCTTTGCGAGAAAAGTAAGAGATAAGAAGGAAGAGGTTAAAAGGGACATAAAGAGGGGTAAGTGAGTATCAAGGAAAGTTTATGGTCAAAATGGCAGGACGAGGGAGACCTAGTTCTTCCGCAGGGACTCATGAGGAAACCCTAGTTGGTGTTATACGAGAGCTGGTTGAGAGGGTTGACACAACAAAATGAGGTTCAGATATTGCAAGAGCAAAAAAAACAGATGAGAGGATTTCATGCTTCGAAGAGCCCCAGGTAAATGATTTCTTGAATGAATATGAATTATTCGGGCTTAGTTATGGTTGGACATACAAACAACTACTTAAGCACCTTTTATCCTACTGTGACACTGACTCAAGGTTGGCTGTTCAAGAGTTGATGGAGTGGGTTACAACATGGGAAAAAATCAAAGAAAGGATGAAAAGATAATTTGAGAAAGATTCTGTTCCAACCACTACGAAGGATCTTCTTAACATCAGAAAAGTTAAGTATGACACCTTCAATGTCTTCCTTCAAACTTTCATCAGAACAGCCAGGAGAATCCCATATTTGGATGAGGCTCAAATATGTCATATCTTTCTGACTAATTTTACAGATAATGAGAGACAGATTTTTCTCAATCAAACTCGATACTACCTTCTCAGATGAGATGAAATGGTTGCAATAGTCAGAAGTCTACCTACGATCTCACACAAGAAGTGGTCACTGGATCAGATCAGTACATTGGCTAAGGACTGGGTGACCGAGAATGGTATGAGCAGAGGGAACAATTTGAGTGCTAAAAATCTTATTCAAAGAGTTATGGTCAATTACATATCTACTAAACACGTTGCTGGTGAAAAAGAAAAGAAGAAAGCTGGAAGCAAAAATGAAGATGATGATGATGATGATGATGGCTATGGTAAAAGAGGAGATTCCTCCAGGCCAAGAAATAATAGAGGGAATGGTGAAAAAAAGAACGGAGAGAGAAGAAAGTATGATGAACGTCCAATGAAAAGTTTTGTTTGTTATTATTGTGGTGAGGGAGGTCATACTACCACCTACTGTAAACCTCCGGAGGAGGATGTGAAGAGTGATGTGGAAAAGAAGGATGCAATGGATCATGTCTGTGACAGTTCATGGAACAAACTGGATCCAAGACATCCTGGAGGTATAAGACTTCTTGCCATTAAACATAAAGAGAAGATGAAAAAAACAAAAAAAAAAAGGTCAATATGAATGTCCACTTCTTCATTGGTGAATTGTCTGAAGAGCTTGTACAAAAAAATGATGACTCTCTTGCACTGACTGAATTGTCTCTACAGTTTCTAACACTGTAGAAGATATATCGGACGAGACTTCGCTGAGCGGGCTCTCGTTGGGGAAGAGTTCTGCTTCTCAGACTTCTTCTGAGTTAGTAGCATTTTCACCTAGCGAGCTCTCCTGTTCAACCAACATGATGTCTTTCGAGGGTGATCTACCACCGTAACTTATTATGGAACCGAACGAGATGATTGGAGAAGTGAGAAATCTTCAACGTTTTACACCACAAATGATAGAGGAAAAGAAGAGAAGAAAAATCGAGGAGACTCTAATTGACATTCTTGATGATCAAGAACCAGACCCTCAATTTAAGAAGAGTGGGCAGGGAAGAGGATAAAATTTACCCTCAAGAGTGAGTTGGAAGATGAAACTGTAATTACGGATGTAATTACAAAAATATTAGAAGAAACGGAAGTGACTTTGTCTTTCAAAGAGGCAATAACGTTAGCACCAAAGTTGAAAGAGAAACTCAAGAAGTTAATTCATAAGAAAATGATGAAGTTAATTATCTAGGATCAGTCTTTCCCAGCCAAGTCAACAGGACCTTGTCTGAATGTAAAATGAGATTCGCAACTATGGGTTGTGGGTATCTAAATATCTACATTAATCAGGTGAAAATTCGAGTCCTAGTAGATTCTGGGGCATAAATGATACTTATCTCTCAGAAAGCTATGGAAGCCTGTGACCTGACCATTGATAGGCCCTCAAGGCAAATACTGAGTAATATTGCTGGACAACTCTTCGTAGCAGGGTTTATTAACAATTTGCCTATCAAGGTTGGAATGATGTCAGTCGAACTTTTCGGATTCGTGGTCAGACCTGGACCATGATTGTATTCTGGGCACACATTTCTTACACAGGATGAAAGTTGTCCCGTTTTTCGGTCATGAGGGGTCATCCTGGATTGACTTGCAAAATCCGGAGACTGCACAAGAACAAACTTTTACGGTTTGTACTTCTTATCATCATAAGCATAAGGTGTCAGCTAATTCAATCAGAAGGGAATAATCTGTTGAGAAAATAAGAAAGATAAAAGGAAAAGATAAGCAAGAAGTCAAGGAGAAAGTTTCAGTTGATATTAATCAGATTTCGAAGATGATGAAAGTTTTTGGCAAACTCAAAGGTGAGGATAGACAAATTGAAGCGTTGAAGAAGGCTGTTGAGACTGCTAAAAGCGGAAAAATGGAATTAAAATTTGCATCAACTTACCTTGTTTTAGGAAAATAGTCACTGGGTCAAAGAGAAAGTACAAGCGCAAGGGGGTAAAGAAGAACCCAGTGACAGTCCTAATTCAAAATGATTATGACGAGTCACTGAAAAAGGAAAGGAGAATTATCAAAGCATTAAGGGAATCTGCGAAATTGGGGAACAGAGTCACTAGGGAAAGATTTGACACAATGAAGATAGAGTCAGATCAATTTATCTTGCATAAAGAGAAAAAATATATAATATATTTTCAAAGTGTGTCAAGAATTCTCTGGAGCATTCTCCTTTAACGACGAGGAGACAGGGCGGTTGGACGTGGATATGATTAAGATGACAAAAATTTGGACAGTTGATCATATTACATGGAATGATAGACCGATCAAGTATGCCCTGAAGAAAGAAGCAGAGGTAGTAAAATATCTTGATAAGAAGATTGTCTCCAATGTTGTTGAACATGCTGACCGTCCGTATGCTAACCACTGGTTTTGTTTTTGGAAACCAGGGGGTGGACTGAGATGGATACAAAATCTTCAAAAGCTCAACTCAGTAACGGTACATGATGCAGGTAACCTTCCTAATGTTGATATCCTTTCTGCATCCTTTGCTGGTCAATGCATTTATTCTTTAATAAATTTATATTCTGCTATGATCAGTTTTTCATTGATCTCACTAGCCGACCATTAACTGTCATGCACACGCCAAGGGGTCTCATTCAAATGTGCGTGGTACCTCAGGGTTGGACCAATGGTGTGGCAGTGGTTCAAAGGGATATGATCCAAGTCATGCAGGATATCTCACCAGAGATAATCAGTCCTTATATTGAAAGGACCTCTAGTAAAAGACGAGACTTTGGTCGCTGATGGAGTCAGAAAGTTTGACTGGGAGCATGCTGAAGGAGTAAAGATGATTCTAGAAAGACTTCAGAAATATAACCTGACTGCCAGTGGACCAATCCCTTATCGTTAAAGCGGAGGTAACTATCTTAGGCTTTATATGTTTCTCCAAAGGTAGGAACCCTGACTCCAAGAAGATAGATAAAATTTTAAACTGACCTCTGTCACTCAAACGAGTCACAGATGTCAGGAGTTTCTTGGGTGTCTGTGGGTTCTGGAGGATTTTCATACCTCGTTTTGCTACCCTTGCAAAGCCTCTAAGAGATATGGTAAAACAAGAGGCTAACTTATCGTGGACTGAGAAAAGACAGATTGCTGCTGAGACTTTACAAGATAAATTAAAAGATGGAGAAGTAATGTTGGGAGTGTCTTTCTATGATGATGAGGAGGGAAGACCCTTCATCATCGAGGCAGATGGAGGACCAGTGACCCTTGGTGGTGTACTCATTCAAATAAATGGGAATGGGAAAGAGAGACCTCTAAAATTTGAGAGTAGAACTTTAAACTCTACAAAGAGAGGCTACACTCAATTCAGGAAGGCACTACTAACAATTATCCACTGTCTTAGGTGTGTTAGGCACTATGTACTTGGAAGGAGATTCATCCTGCGGAATGATGCATCGGCTGTAATAGGTGTTATTAGAAAACATCAAAAAGTAGATCCAACAGTGAGCAGGTGGATTACCTTCATTTGGACTTTTGATTTTAAATTGTAAGAAATTCCTACAGAGAAAAATCATGCAGATGGACCAAACCGAATTGAATGGAGAAAAGAAGAAGATGGGAATGTTGATTGGTCAATCGAAGAATCTGCCTATGTTGATAACTTCCTAAATGAGGAGGATGATGAAGATTATAAGGCGCCAAGTTCCTATAAGTGGAGCTTATGACCTAAAGAAAGAGACAGCTGGAGATAAATGTCAGATTCTTATGTCTATGAATTAATTCTTGAAAAAGAATTGGGAGAAG